AGATAAAGGCAGAACAAGTACAAAATTCAGAAAAATTGTAATGTCAATGAACCCTATTCTTTCAAAAGTAGGTCAACAGAATGAATCCAGAGCCCATTACCAACCATCAGTACACCAGGTACAATAGGTAACACTGATTAAAATCTGATGTACACCATTGCATGATCCATTGTATTACAATTACAATCATAAACGCAGACAAAAATCTACTGAACACAAAAGCCAAAAAAATTGTTTTTTAATACAATCAGGAACAGAGATGCTTCTGAATCTGCTATTCTTATAGACTGTAATATGGTGCATTTAAATAAGTGCATACCAAAATCTGGCATGAGAAAATGAAAGTGAGCATTAAGGGAGTAAATTTTGCCTTCATTTTGTATTGTGAACATTGCTTTGTAACAAAAACATAATTAGGCAATAGCTGAATTTGAGTTATCTCCCTTTGTCCATAACTGTAGGTTCATCCATTATACAAAATTTTCTGCAACTTGTGAAACTATTTATAATATGTTTTACTTTACAAGTATAATACAAGTAGTACACATAAATTTTATTAGTAAATTCAGCGTCGGAGTTTATAATATTAATAAATTGCCTGACATGAACATTTAAAGGATCTAAAGAATGTTCACCTTTCTCAACTATGTTGTTGGTCCTCGACTATCACAGGCTAATAAAGCTAACCAGCCAGAATGAAATCTTTACTCCAAAAAATCAGGACAAGTATAAATGTCAAAAGAATGCCAAATGTATGTCAACTGGGACAAAACCAATATACATCTAGAACTTGTCAATATATCTTATACCAAAAAATTTGTCAAATGTATCTCAAGCTATGTAATTAAAATCTAAACAACTGTTATACTTGGGGAAGGTCAGAACGACGGAAGAAAATGAAAGGGCACAACAATAAATCCCCTTCACTTGCTGGCAAACTGTGAAGGGATGAAGAATCATGAGTTTTGTATTAAATTATGATTTCACAGTATCCTGTAGCATGTTGTGATACACAAAACTTGACAATATGCAATTGCATTTATTGCATTACCACAAATGTCAATATAAGTGTTAATTTCCATTAAGCTGGTCCTATGTTGTCAAACTCTTAAACATCAGCAGTAAAATAGAGGAAGATTGGCTTGCTCAAAATTCCAGCTTTTGATGAGGATGTTTTGATGGTTTAAGAAACAGAACAAAAGATTTGTCAAGGAGTCCATTTCTAATTAAAATATGAAGAAATGAAGAAAAAAACTATTTCTTGATAATGAAGAAGCTTCTGTTCAAGTGTTGTGAAATTCCATGAATGTTTGACAAATAAATGATCCCTAATAAAACTTCAATCCACTGACTGAACCTGAAATATTGCAAAATGAATCTATATGATTGCTGTCTCGCCTTTACAACTTCCATCACAGCCGAGACGAAAAATCAAACATCCAGAATAGAATGATTGGAGTATTTTTAAAATAACTATTCTCAACTAGGCTGCTTTAGGTCAATTCCAAATGTATGCAAGTTTTTATACTAACAAAAGTATGTATAGTGGCTTTTTGCTCAACTGCATTCATGCAATAAGGGAATTTTGCATAAAAGTGGACATTGTGTTCTTTGTTAACACAGTAATCTTTAACTGCATCAGAAAATTTAATTTTCCAGTTTAGCACTATAAACCAAAATGACTTGCCATTCCAAACTATATTTCAATTTTCAAACAAGGACTGTGTGCAACTTCAAGTTTTTTTTTCAACAGTTCATTCCAATCACTTCACTTGACTAAATACAACTGATATTCATTGAAACAAGTAATGAGTCTTTTTGAACTCTATCTTGACTGTCAAGGACTATTAATGACTGTTGATGACTGTCTACGACTGGATTTCACAGTTCAGTCTCTGACAGTTATAAACAGTCACTTTTTGGTCAACTCTTTTATGACTGGAGTGTTTAAGGACCTTGACTACCCAAGAAGGTCTCGCATGGCCAGTATTGTAGTCACAAAGGATAAATCACAGATTTTGCAAAATAATGTTGATGTTTTTAAACACGTAAAATAGCAATTTTTAAAGACCAAATTACAGTGGGCTAGGTAGTAATTATGTGACATATAACCAGAAGTTCATACTTAACTCCTGGACTTCTAGTAGTACATTTGGAATGTAAATAAATATATAGTTATATATCTTTTATGAAAATGATCAAAAGGATAAGAACACTTACCCACATATAGAAGTTTTTACATCAAAAGGACAGAGGAACAACAGTATTACAATGTAAACGACCAATTATAAATGTGTTTTCGTTTTCTTTAAATCCTTGAAAACATTGCTTTCTGCTGTTTTGCTTTTTTTTACTTGTTATTAAATTATAAATGCAATGATAAGGAACAACAGAGAGAAGTAAACAAACACTGAACTTTGATTGTCCGTCATAGGGTTTCAGATTTTTTCTTCTTACCAACCCTCAATAAAAACAAATAAATATCTTTATTTTCTAAACATGCAAGATTTTTTTGTACCTTTTAGTATCATTTTGTAACTTAAGACCAACAACTGCAAATACTAAATTTATTTAAGAGGAGCAAATGTATGTGTGATAAGAATATGAACCCTGCTTTGTAATAGTTCAATATTCTGAACCTGACCTACAACTCTCTACTAGTTACACTATGCTGGAGGGCATTTCACCTAATCACTACACATTATTTTAACTCAAAATTGGCTATCTTCGTTCTTACTCGAAATTGCTGAAAGCAACATATATCAATTTTAAAGTCTTTGGTTTGACCAAGCTGGGGATCAAACTGATGACCACAAACAATTGAGGCAAATGACCATGATGGTCGTAACATTTCAAAGTAATAAAACATTTAAGTAAAAAGGTTTTAACATATTTAACACAACAATAAAAGTTTGGATAAAAAATCAATAGAAGGAAAACAAGATAGAAACAAACAAATGTAGAAACATTGTCTTACAACTGAAAACTCACCACTTCAGACATTCTATATCCAGTTATAAGCTAATGTAGCACATAAAGCAAATAAATAATACAAAAAAATAAGTTAACTAAAACAGAATGAAAACTTACAGCAAATAAATGAATAGTTTCTACAAAAATATGAAATTATGGTGGCAATTGTTTACTAGAAATCTAAAAAGCTTTGGCAAATAATATAAAATAATGGAGACTTTTGTTGACAGGATATTTGAGCATAAAACACCTTGCCAACTTCTCATCTTTAAACTATTGATTGTTGCTTGTTTAAAAAGCTTGTACAGCATAGAAAGGCAATTGTTTAGTGGTAGCAAAGTACTGTGGATTTATAATCTTTCACATGATACTAATTTTCATGGATTTCGTGGGTAACGGTAAACCACAAATTTAAATGTTCAACGAAGTACAAATTTTCTTTATGTTGGCAAAACCACTTAATCAAATACCCACGAAAATACAATCTTTCCTCAATCCACGAAAAAATAAATGAATCCACAGTATAAGAAATACAAAATAAATATATGCATCTTTACTTGATTTATAATTAACATGAAAAAAAGCATAGATTTAATCTTCTGAGTGTGGTTTTGAAATGGCTGATATTTTTAAATGTATTAAGATGTTTTGTCTATATAATGTCTTGTATGAATAAGTAATATGACGAGAAATTAGAAGAATGGCAAAAAAAAGGTAAAATACTGCAACTACTACTATTCTAAAGGTTCTATTTAAAATATATTGCTATCTGAAAACATATTAAATTGTAAATCATGTGAGAAAACATTGAAAGCCAGCAGAACATGTCATCACTGTTTTCTGTGCTTTAATTGTGAGATGAGAAGCTACATTGGTAAATGCCTTTGTATAAAGATTGCATTTCACTGGAACTTGAAGAAAAGATTTCAATCTAAATTCAGAGTGAAATCAAAATTGAACACTTTTCATTAAACAAACATATGCCTCTAAAACTAAACACACCAATCTAATATTCTAAATCATATCAGAATTTTTTCTTATATATTTTGTTTGTGCACTAACCAATTAAAATTAATATCCTAAAATGTTTTTTAAAAACCCAAATCCACTCAATTTTGGCAAATCACTCTACAAGTGCTAATAACTACCAATTAAAATAATTTTGGAGTTAAGTTTAATTGCATCACTTCAAATGCTAATAGTTCAAACAAAGCAGGAGAACTTTTATTTAGTACTACAGGTGTGTATTAATATAATACTTGTGTGCAATATCACTTCTAAATAAGTATATATTTAATCTAGTGGAGTGAGATTAATCAAAAGAGAAATTTCAACTGCAAGTTCTTACCTAATTTTTTCATTGTTGTTAAATAAAATTTCTCATGTTATTGCAGTCATTCCAGTGTATGAAATATCTATTTCCTTTTCTTGTTGGAAAATAAACGACGCGACTTTGAATTCTTTCTTGAATCCGAGACAAATAATCAAGGAAAAATTACATGATGGATTAAAACTTCTCGGAAATTTTAAATCCTTTTAAACTCTTTACATGTAAAGTAAGTTGTATGTCCAATCTAACCGTGATGCTACTGATTTCATGCGGAAGATGTTTTGTTGATATCTTCTATAGATTCTCGATGGAAATGATACTTATCACACATGGGTTTAATGGCATGCCTTTTGACACAAGACAATTGTTGCCCACAAGAACAATAAGCCTTGATATCATAACTTTTGTACATAAAAAAATAACTTTAAAATCAATAATTACTATTCTGATAAATTCAAATTAGCAATGGTGAACAATGCTATGAATTTAAATCTTTTTTTGGGGAGGGGACGGGGGTAGTACAAAGTAACATCTTACTCAAAACCATAATCAGCCATTATATAAAACATATAGGATGTCATTAACAGACGGATAAGGGTACGAGTTAAATATCAAGTAGATGCTCGCTCTCACAATTAAAGCAGACATAACAGCGGAATGTAAGCCAAGTTGACATCACACTACAAATAGAACCTACCAAAAATTCATCACGTATGAAATATTTTGCTCTAACAACCTCTGCGTCTTCCCCTGGATCTACACAAGCTGAATCGAAAAAAAAAATAGTACAACATTACTTCATGTAAATGCTTTCATTGGTCAAGACATTGATAATATTCTGGAAATTATATATCATAAAGTTCAATGATTAATAATAAATATATATTGATATCTTGCTTTTATATGTAATCAAACAATTTTTTTTTTTTATATTGCAGTGTTGCTGTCTCGTAACAGTATATCCCACAACATTTACTGACATCGGCAGAAGACTAAGGGTGTGATTATAATTTTTGGGATGTTAAAACTCCTCCTTTACTAATGACTGCAGCTGTGCAGAATACAAAGTAAAATTCCTTCAAATAGTAAAATACCGAGTTCATAAATGTATAAATCATACAGTTTCCAAAAATTCATGTTATGTCAGTATTTCAATGTGTACTGGTTTATATGTTTGATCTGCATCATGGTTGATGCTTGCTGTCAACTGGATCAACATCTCTTTTAGAATTTTGTAATCACAAATTCATTGAGGTCAATTTCATTGATACTTAGTGGTAAACCATCCACCTTTTAATTATTTAACTTATCAGTGACATTTTATACACTAAGGTGACCAGACTATACCATACTTATTGTATGACCTTACTTTGTTTTTAATACCTGGTTCCAAATATAGGTTTTCATCGCACCTTCTTCTTGTAACTCAATGAATAATAATGATTACACAATGTATAAAATAAGGATTATGATGTTAGTAATGATAAAACTAAAAAATAATAAACATGCAGGAACAAACAACACAAGCAAATCAACATACAAAACATCTTAATCTAGTGCAAAGATGTATGCTTTTTGTCAATGAACCACAACAGAAAGTGAATTGGGCAACAAATCAAGCTCCTTAAATGTTAAGATCGTATTATAAGTCTCTTTCATTTCCAGTAAAATATTGCAACTTGGATTTTATATACTTTCATGATCAATATAATATAATATTGTTGCAAATAGTTTCCGTTTGAAGTAACAGAAAGTCTATGTTTGCTAAGTACTGTGGATTCATTTATATTTGCAGATACCAATTTTCATGGATTGAAGAAAACTTGTATTTTCATGGATATTTGATTTTGTGGTTTTGCCATAGTCTGTAAACAAAACTTATAGAAAATTTATACCTCTTAAAACGTTTAAATTTGTGGTGTACCTATTCCCCCAAAAATGCATGAATACTGGTATCCCATGAATAATTTCACTGAAAAGTTAACAACAGATTTCAACAACAAATATACATGGACTATTTCTCACTTTGAACCCATCTATGATTTGGAGGGTAAAAATCAAGATTTGATAGGTCTGTGTTTTGGTTTTCTAGGAAAATGAAAATAAAACAGACAAAAATAAAAACGAAATAAATATGCAAACTAAACAAAAACAAATCAAACTGTATTAAAAATGAAAGCATATGTGTCAACCTTTCAAACCTCCAAGTGGGGGATCTCCTTCCCTTAGGTAATTTCTAGTTGGGTTAATTAGATTTTCATCTTGGTTTTATTACTGTACTTTATACAGATGAATTTATAATATGAAAGATTTTTTCAATCAATATTTAAATAATTTTAATCGTTAATAACTATATCATTTGCAATACACTGTTACTGTCCAGCAGTTTTCCAAGTTGGAGACTACCTCTCTTTCAAAATATTCTGATAAAGATTTTCGTTTAAGTTTTTAAATTGGGAGACTCCCATTGACATCTAAAAACTTGACACCTATGTGAAACCAAACTAAAGCAGTGATGAAAAATAAAGATAATGAAAATGGTAACTTGTGTATCTGAATACACAAGAGTTTTTCTGATTCCTGGACATTTATAAACCTGTCTGCTAGAAGTATTCTATCTTAAGACGCTGACAATTGTCTTGTACATTTAACATAACAAAATGTCATTGGTAGAGAAATAATCACCATTATGATGAGCATATATATGAGAGTATCATGTGCATCTTAATATAATTGAAAACAATGTTTAAATCATTTTGAATTTTTTTTTACTGTCCATTAAAATTCAAATATAAATCAGCTACATATAAGTTAGAAAAAAATGGAGAATGTGTCCCCATGGACACAGATGATGCCCCCGCTTGCATACAACATTATAAAGGGACATAACTCAAGAACGCTACCCAAATTTGTACTTGATCTGAGTTTTAAGGTAATAAGTATTGTGTATAGGTTTCATAATGTTTGGTTGAGGCAAACTTAAGTTACAGAACGGAAACTAAAAATTTTGCAATTTTTCGATTTATAAAGGGGCATAACTCGATAATGATTAAAGTGACGCTACCAATATTCAACTTGATCTGTGTTTTGTGATAAAAAGCATTGTGTATTAGTTTCATAACATTTGGTTGAGGCAACTTAAGTTAGAGAACAGAAACTAAAAATTTTGCAATTCTTCCATTTATAAAGGGGCATAACTCTAGAACGGTTAAAGTGACGACACCAAAATTCAAACTTGATCTGTGTTTTGTGGTAATAAGCATTGTGTATAAGCTTCATATAATTTGGTTGAGGCAAACTTAAGTTAGAGAATGGAAACTAAATATTTTGAAATTTTTCCATTTATAAAGGGGCATAACTCTAGAACAGTTAGAGTGACGCTACCAAAATTCAATCTTGATCTGTGTTTTGTGGTAATAAGCATTGTGTATAAGTTTCATAACATTTGGTTGAGGCAAACTTAAGTAAGGGAACGGAAAGTAAAAATTTTGCAATTTTTCCATTTATAAAGGGGCATAACTCTAGAACGGTTAAAGTGACGCCAACAAAATTCAAACTTGATCTGTGTTTTGTGGTAATTAGCATTGTGTATAAGTTTCATAACATTTAGTTGAGGCAAACTCAAGTTAGAGAACAGAAACCAATTTTGGGACGTACGGGCGTACGTACGTACAGACGGACAAAGGTACATTTTAATGCCCCCTCCACTACGGCGGGGGGATAAAAAGTAGATTTGTATTATCTAAAAATATTTCTATTTTGTTTCAAAAGCAAGCAACATAAGAACTATTGCAAGGTATTCGTCCTTATTAAAATGAGACAAAATAAGAGTTGCATCGATTAAAATTAACATGGAAAATTCTTGTTAATTTTGAATTCGCAGGGTTTAATCTTACTTTCATATTTTGATCTTTATCAACAATATTATCAATTAATAAGCAGTGTACTATTACACATGGCAGTTAGTTTATGGAATCCCATTCCAATTAGATCAAAATGCTAAATCAAACTTGTAATTTTTTAGCACTGACAATAGTGTCTTACCATCATTAGGTATTTGGTATCGTTTAAAGTCTGGGAAATAATCTTCAAGCTTTGATTTGCCAGCCTTAATTTTTTCAGCTAGAAGGTCTTGTTTGTTTAAAAATAATATAATGGAGATTGTTCGTAGCCACCTGAAAAAGAAAAAAAAAGAGAGAATTTTTAAAACAAGTCAAGAACAGCATAGCTAAAAGCTAGCATGAGATTCCATTTGGTAAAATTGTAGAGGATTCTCAGATGATCTCTTATAATTTATAGACTTGTAAATACAATCAATATCAAGTTGTTTTTAAGTACCAACTTGTAACTTGCCAACTTCAAATATACATGTATTGATCCCTGAAATATTTTTTAATGTAATCATGTGTACCCCCCTCTTTGGTTGCAAGCGATCTATGTAGTATCTGTGTTTGGCTATTTCTTTCCATTTACAGATCGAATAGAAAAAAATCTACAGAGAATATCTAAAATTTGTATAGAAAGACAAACGGTTATCTAAGTTGTCTGGTTGCTGTCTCATTTAGGTATACCTCAGATCTCCTATTTTCATATTATTGACTTTTCCAATCCTTCCATGAAATATTTCTGACTCAGCAATATACATGAAAAACCTTCTTTGACTCAAATTCAACACTTAAAGCACATGAATTGTGTAGAAATATTAAGTAATAATAACAGAAGAGAAATCCCTACCACTTACTGGCAATATGTTATATGAACCAAATATTTTTTTTTCTGAACTTGGATTGATATTTCATTGTTGACAAATAAAGAAATGCCGCAAAAGAGGCCAATTGATTTTTTTTTTCAATTGGACTAGATATATTTTGCTTAAAAGTTAATTGCAACATGTACTAATAATAGAACTTTTTCATGCCACAACGCTGAATGTCTTCCAGTTTCTCTTCCCAGAATATGCTGAAGGTCTCTTTTTCTTCAGCCAGAAACTTTTCCAAGATGACTTTATATACTGACATGGATATCCACAACATTTGAACTCTGGTGGATAGATGTCTCATTAGAAATCATACCACATCTTCTTATTTTCGTATGGAATCTATGATGCACAAACAACAACATTCTATCTACCTGTTATTCCAAATACTTTGGAAAAGGTTTAATGACTCTCTGAGTCTATTTGTAGTAGCATCCTCTCTTAAAACAAGGTTATAACTACTGCAGGCTGTGACAAAAATGATAGCTGTAACATCGTTAAAACACTGAATCCATTTTCTTCTTTCATCTCTCTGGCCTCCCACATCAAACATACTATAAAAAAATGTAATTGTGCTATAATAACAACTTAAACATTCTTTAATTAGAGTGGAAAATGAAAATTTTTATTTTACATGTGTTCATGCTTGAAGCTCATTTTTCAGCGTTTCCTTCAAATTGGTAAAAAGCAAAGTGCAAGCTATTTCTTGTCTTCCATTTATCGTGAAATTGCCATTTTATTTCCTGTCCATCCATGCATTGTACCATCATTTACAACATCTTTAATTTTGGTTTCATTTTTTGAAGTGAACCAATAGCAAAATTGATTTAACAATCTAATATGTAGTTCTATCATAAGTTGTCCTATTGATGGATGAAATATTTGCCACTGTACATTAAGTAAACAATAAACAATCAATCACCTATCATTGTTGCTCCTAAAAAACAAAAATTTATATATGTCACATTTTACATGTCATTTGAGCATTACATAATAAAATGCTCCGCAGGGCACAGCTTGATACGACCGCAGAGGTCGAACCCCGAACAGTTGGGGCAAGTATGGACACAACATTCAAGCTTGATACAGCTTTGCAATTGGATTGCGATTAAATATTTGACACAGCATAGGTTTCTGACACAGAATGAATGTGGTCTAAGAATTAAAAATTTTAAATTGGACATTCACCTATTATGGTCCAATATCCAAAATCTAAATACATGGTTAGATTCAGCATATCAAAGAACCCCAAGAATTCAATTTTTGATGAAATCAAACAAAGTTTAATTTTGGACCCTTTTGACCTCAATGTGGACAAAGTTGATAACGGGGCCCAAAAATCAAAAATCTAAATACATGGTTAGATTCAGCATATCAAAGAACCCCATATATTCAATTTTTGTTGAAATCAAACAAAGTTTAATTTAAGACCCCGATTTGGACCAACTTGAAAACTGGGCCCATAATCAAAAATCTAAATACATGTTTAGATTCAGCATATCAAAGAACCCTAAGAATTCAATTTTTCTTAAAATCAAACTAAGTTTCATTTTTTGACCCTTTGGACCTTAATGTAGACCAATTTGAAAACGGAACCAAATATTAAGAATCTAAATACACGGTTAGATTCGGCATATCAAAGAACCCCAATAATTCAATTTTTGATGAAATCAAACAAAGTTTAATTTTGGACCCTTTGGACTTCAATGTGGACCAATTTAAAAACAGGGCCCAAAATCCAAAAACTTAATACACGGTTAGATTCAGCATATTAAAGAACCCCAAGAATTCAAGAATGAAACCCCATTGAAATTGGTCAAGAAATAAGCAATTTATACGAAGTATCTTCTTTTGCACAATACTGTGCAATTGAATATTTCTTGCTATTGCGCAATACTGTACGATTGACAATTTCTTGCTATTGCGCAATATTGTGCTATTGGATATTTCTTGCTATTGCGCAATACTGTGCAATTGAAGATTTCTTGCTATTGCGCAATACTGTGCAATTGAAGATTTCTTGCTATTGTGCAATACTGTGCAATTGAAAATTTCTTGCTATTGCACAATACTTATTTTATAAAAATTTACACATCCTGTTTGGTGTGTATCTCCTACCATATCATTTTTATTTGCTTTTAAATATAAATCAGAAATAACCAACTTAAAATGGAAAATTTTAAAAGAAAAAAAAAAGGAAACCCCCCCCCCAAATTTTTGAACCCCCTTATGATTCATCACCCCCAAACTCAATCCCAGCCTTCCCTTTGTGGTATGGTACCTTGCAGTACAATTTCAGAGAGATCCATACACTTGAACACAAGTTATTGTCTGGAAACTAGAAAAAATGTGTTTTTTGGCCCCTTTTTGGCCCCAAATTCCTAAACAAGTAGGGCAATTACCCCCAAACTCAAACCCAGCTTTCCCTTTGTGATATGGAACCTTGTAGTACAATTTCAGAAAGATCCATACACTTACACACAAGTTATTGTCCTGAAACTAGAAAAATGCTTGTTTTTTGCCCCTTTTTGGCCCCTAATTCCTAAAATATTGAGGCAATTACTCCCATCATCAATCCCAGCCTTCCCTTTGTGGTATGGTACCTTGCAGTACAATTTCAGAGAGATCCATACACTTGAACACAAGTTATTGTCTGGAAACTAGAAAAATGCTTATTTTTGGCCCCTTTTTGGCCCCCAATTCCTAAACGTTTCGGCAATTACCCCCAAACTCAATTCCAGCTTTCCCTTTGTGATATGGAACCTTGTAATACAATTTCAGAAAGATCTATACACTTACACACAAGTTATTGTCATGAAACTAGAAAAATGCTTGTTTATTGCCCCTTTTTTGGCCCCTAATTCCTAAAATTTTGAGGCAATTACCCCCATCATCAATCCCAGCCTTCCCTTTGTGGTATGGTACCTTGCAGTACAATTTCAGAGAGATCCATACACTTGAATACAAGTTATGTCTGGAAGTTACAAAAATGCTTATTTTTGGCCCCTTTTGGCCCCTTATTCCTTTACTGTTGGTACCATAACCCCCAAAATCAATCCCAACCTTCCTTTTGTGGTATTGAACCTTGTGGTAAAATTTCATAGAGATCCATTCACTTAAACTAAAGTTAGAGTGTGAAAACCAATGTGTCTTCGGACGACGACGACGACTCCAACGTCATACCAATATACGACCACAAAATTTTTTTTGCGGTCGTATAAAAAGTGGGTCCTGATAAAGGAGTTCTGTTATACTGGTGTAAAAGCAATGTATTTGACCAAAGTATGGCTTTACAGTCAACATATTTTTCTAATTTCTAGAAAACAGCTGATGGCCACCAATGGGTCTTCAACACAGCGAGAAAATCCTGCATCTGGAGGTGGGCTTCAGCTGGCCCCTAAACAAAACTGTGTACTAGTTCAATGAAAATGGATGTCACACTAAACTCCAAAACATATGAATAATATAATAATAATATTTGTTTTACTGGCTTCACTATATTCGTTGCTGCACTGAGTACAATGCATGGATGAACTGTATTGCCACTAGATGTTCAACATTCTGTGTCCTTAATCAAAACAGTGAAATTGGATCCTTATTTTTTAACACTTAAGAAAGGGTATGCACAGAAAAACTCAGGCATAGTATCTGAAACTGTTCTAAATATCCTGTTTCTTTTTCCTTATTTTGTTATTCTTCTATGTATTATGTATTTGTATTGGTATTATGAAAGAGTACTTCACTAGTTGTTTCTGTAACATATGTGGATATATTTGTTGTGTGGTATACTTTGATTACATATGATCTGTTTATACAGTTAGGTGTATCCATTCTTTTAAGACTAGGATAACTCCAATTTAACCTTGACCTAGGCCATATGTTGTTCTATATTGTTTCGTTGGTTTTTTTTTTTTTTTTTTTTTTTTTTTGTGTGATCATCAAATATTTCTGGATTAATCAACTATCTATTTTTGTTTCGAGGTAGCTGAGTCTAACCCAAAATAAGGATTTCTAAACTGGTACATAAAAGCACTTACTGAAAATTAACTTTTTCCACTTGAAATTTTGTTTCAAAGATTCCTGACGTTAATACTCTACACCGTAATATATCCTGCAAAAGAAAATGAAAGTCTTGTTAACATATAAATATTAACAGAAAGTCTTGTTAACATATAAATATTAACAGAAAGTCTTGTTAACATATAAATATTAACAGAAACAAATTCATTTGTTCAACACACAAAACATAGTTATCATGTATAACAATGTAACTCAAAAGTGGTAAATCAAACTTCTATCTGCTTCCTTCAAAGGTTATTCTTTCTTTCATAGATAGATTGTATGTAAAGATTATTGGGTTTTCTAACACATTAATATCATAAAATATCAGATGCCCCTCACAATGTGAACCTTTTTGGCAAATGAGTGCAGCAAATGAGCAAAAAGCTTCACACTGTGTCGAGCGGCTAATATTTCATAATATCTATATGTAGAAAAGTTGATAATGTGTTTATCGTGTGATTCATTGGTCTTTTTCTCCTCCCTTAGACAGTTTTACGCTTGGCGAAAGAAAGCTTGAAAACGTCACCTCACATATTGTGATGTCTTTGATAACTTTTTCTCAGACATTATGACATTGCTGTTAAGTTCTGCTCACATCACAAAGCTTTGATACAAGAATTACAGAGCAACTGAGCAGGATGATATAGACGAAGGGAAAAATGATAAAGGCAGATATTGTACATGTAACTGAACTTTTGCAACATCTTAATTTTTTTTTCATAATCTTCCATATTTAGTTTTTTCGTCAGCTTTTATAATATCTTATCGTATAAAAGGCAAGTATGTATAAACTCCTCTTTCTTTAGACAGGTATAAACAGTGTATGCAGTTTGGACATACAGTTCTACTTAAGGGAATATTATAGATGTTTTCCATATTAACTCCATGTGTTTTATTTGGGTTGTAATAGAAGCCATGTTATTTTTATGCATCATTATCACAGAATATATAGACCTCTTAAAACAAACTGTAAGAGTACATTCAAGCATTGATGCCAATTTTTACAGTCAATAACTTTGTCTTTATATCTTATCAATGGCCTGTTGTAAATTTTTCACCCAATGACTTTTGTCCAGTTATGTAATAAGTCTATGACTATTAACAAAATTTGGAAATGACAGCCAGTCTTCCTGGCTAATATTAGAAACTCTTTGGCTAGACAGGCTATATTTGTGCCAAAAATACAGATATGAAGACATTAGTCAATAAGACAGCAACCTATCAACACAAGAAGATATCTAGAAGCCAACTAACCATCTTCAACAACAGATTAAAGCCAACACAATATGGCAAGCTCTAAATCTTCCAGGGGCTAGAAAAGTTGTCAATAGATTAGAGACTAGTAAGATGAATATTTTATAATTGATTCAAAGGTGTCAAAAAGGACTGCAAGACATTTTTCTACCAGTTCTAACCATGCTATAAATTGGAGTACTTGATGCTTACACATTCTACCTAGTCTAATAGTATTAATTCCAAAACTTGGCAAGTCATACATTATACATGTGCATTTACAAATGGTATATAAAAGATTTAAATGTGTCTATATAATTTTCCATGATCTAATTCACCTTAATCTAGGTTCAAGTTCATTGATAAAGAAATTTAAATGAAATTCTCAGACGGTATCAATATTACTGCACAGATCTGGTACAAAACAATATTAATGCACAAAACAGAGCATGACTCTCTGTCAACATTAAACTGATCCGACATTTTGAACTTTTTGCAATGAATAATTTCATCCCCACCTAACCCTCAATAAAATTCTAAGCAGCCATTTTCTTAGGTACTGTAAATTCAGAAATTTTGTATGCATTTATTATTGTGATTTTTGAAGAAAGGACAAAAATGGGAAATAACTATTGTGCTTTTAGGAAAATCTCCCTACAGTTATATGTTTCTGATATCAGAATGTGAGTTCTTATTGCGATTCTCACTCAGTCATATAATTTGCATTAATGATAACCTCGCAATAATTCCTGCATTTATAGTAACCATTTTTAAATAAATAGCCTTCTAGATTTATTAACAGTGATCTAATAAAACAAGGGACATTGGATCAAATGCTGTTATATCTCTCTGTAGCTACAAGTCCCTGACCTTTCTAATGTGTTTTTTGTGCAAAGTATTTTTTCTTTATTAAAAATCAATAGATCAATTTAGTTTTAAGTCTGAATCATAAGTACAAAAGATTAATACAAATAAGATATTTTGAATTTCCATGTTAAAATTCTTTAGGGCACTATTGAAAAGAATAAGGGTCTCTGACCTCATATTTGAATGCCATATTTAAATAAATGTTCAGATAGGTTGAAAATATGCAGCTGTGCATTGAAAACTCCAAAACAATTTGTACTTTCACTAAATCCTTTTAATAAAGCAGGATTTAAGAATGTAACCTTCAGTCCCCAATAAATGAACGTTTCACTTGGAGATTTTTTAAGACAAAAATATCACACTCTATTACCGGCTATCATTATGGCAGAATCAATAGGAATTGCCATTAAAAACAATTGTTTTGGCCATCTTGTATTGCAGATTTTTGTCTGCTGTTCTACTTGCCATATTGCAATACAACATAATTTGCAGTACCAATACACAGAAGGCAATAGGATGTGAATGTGTGGCAGCTAAAAAAACTTTTACTATATTCCTTTTCTTGCAAATTTGATTGTGAAAAGATCCACATCTTTTTACTAGGATATGATGCTTCAGACCATAGATGTATGTTCAGACTAACTGAAGGTACATGTGCCTACCAACATTTTTGCTTTTGATTTTAAAAATTATCAAAAATAAATTGGGTCTGAATTTTACATTATGCCTGATTCAAACTTTCATCTCTCCAATAATTGTGCAAAAATACAAGAAATAAAAGTGCACTTGTATATTGCCGAATACATGTACTGGGTAAATGTAAATATACAAGAAATCTACATTAGTACTACACACATTAAAAAAAACACATACAATTACATCCATATACTAATTGTGAAAACAAAAGACCTGCAGATATGTTAATGATTCAAACTATTAACTGGATGACCTTTCTATGGAATGACATTCTTTTACAAGTGTTTTGTAAATATGTAAACATGTGAATCAATGTACACAAGCTACTGTATATATATATGCAAAGTGTTGAGATTTCATTATTTCACAGTATTTGTCAGAACAGCAAATGGCAGCTGAAACAGATATATCAACTGCAAATTCATGCCTCTCCTGTGTTTAATATTTAAGTATAAGAAATTGATGGAAGTGCATAAAAAAGGCTCATCCCATTATATCCCTACCTACAAAAAGTAGTTTGCAGGCAGGGGGTGTAAATCTGTGTGGTAGAACTGTTGACTAAGGAGGATTGCGTTACTTAAATCAAGTAATTTAAATACTAATTTGGAATGTTTACACAGTATACTCTGCGTGTTGGTTCTCCTGTGATTAAATCATTTCTAATCTGTTGTAAGGACACAATATTTACTTAATATATTACTAAATGGGATATTATTAGTGGCAAAAAACAGGTATTCAATGGTCAAGTACTTTGAATGGTGATTTTCTTTAATACTCTTGGCTAATATAATTTTCCATCATAATAATATTCCCTATACAATTAAGGCTTTTAAAACAGAGGCAAATCACTGGCTATTACAGAATGCACAACCAACTGTAAATTTAGAGTTTTTTGCATGCATTTATAGTTGCAATTGTTGATAAAAAATGTGAGAGATTTATTATTCCTATTTCAGGAAATGCTGTTTCAAAATATTCTGTCAAAATTTCAACTGCCAATTTTTATATTTATGAAACCTGTCCCATTGCAATTTCAACAAGAATGTGTCCATAGTACACTGATGCCCCACTCGCACTATCATTTTCTATGTTCAGTGGACCGTGAAATTGGGGTCAAAACTCTAATTTGGCATTAAAATTAGAAAGATCATATCATAGGGAACATGTGTACTAAGTTTCAAGTTGATTGAACTTCATCCTCATTAAAAACTACCTTGACCAAAATCTTTAATCTGAAGCTGGACAGACGTACAAACGGACGAACAGACCGAAAAACATAATTCCCCTAGGTGGGGCATAATAAAAACAAGCATTCTCTGAGTATTACATGGCAATACATAGTCCCCTACCAGTTAAATATTCATTGTATTGGAACAAAATTCTAACTTGATCTATAACTTGTCATGGTGTAAACTATAAAATAAATATCAAGTCCAAGGACCATAACTCTGCACAAAATCATCAGACCAGAACAAATTTCGAACTTGAACGTGTCATTATAAAACTATATACCAATTTTCAAATCAATATCTTCAAGCATGACGTAAAAAGAGCGGAAAAATTATTATTTGAGTGAATTTTCTATGTGAAAGGACCATAACTCTGCACAAAATCATCAGACGGAACAAAATTTGAACTTGATCTGTAACTTGTAATGATAAAACAATACTCCAAATATCAAGTAGTGAGGAAAACTGATTTGCCGGACTGACAGATGGACAGACACACAGACAGACAGACAGAGTGCAAACCTAAAGTCCCCTTCGACTTCGTCGGTAAAGGACTAAAAACAAATATGAATTATCAGTATTGGAATAAGTTGAAGACATAATGCAGTAACATCCCAAACTCAAAGAAATTGAAAGTGTAAGAAGACAAAACATTTGGTCAAATTGAAATATCCATGATCATAGATTTGCTGCCTACTAGAATCTTTTAAGAACCATTTGTATAAGGCCAAAAGATTAACTCAACATATTACAAACCATTAGAACAATAAATCTAATACTATATTTTGGGTGGCTGAGGCAAAATAAACAGCAAAATTGTCAGTTATACGCATATTTTCAGTACCATGCATACCAAATGAAGGCTCATCCATAAAAAATGCTTTGAACTTAATAAATACCACGTTTAGTTTATCTTTTAACCAAAAAATCGTATATATCATGCAAAATATGTTTACAAGTCAGTAGATAAGTTGTTTATAGAATTAATCAATTGACAGCACAGCACAATTATACTATTAACTATATTCTATGTTTAAAATAAATTAATGCTAGCTAAAATGATAAATCTATTTAAATCCACCCTGATACAGTATCCCCCATGGTTCTGTTTTTTGTGAGCACATTAAATTCTATTGCTTCAGAACTACATGCAAGCAAGATTTCAACAAAACGTTATATTCAACATTTTGAAATATTTAACATAAGAAATATGTATTTATAAATTGAAGTATATTCAGGTATGACTAAAAATCTCCTGATACCTGTCAATTACTAATTTTATTTTTCAGAAATTTAAATCACCTCAAATTTTTTGCAAGATCAGTTCTAAATAAAGAACATCTGATCATAGAACATATTAATTCCAGAAGACTAATATTTTACATCACTCATTAAAATACAAATGCACAGTATAAATGAGCCCTTATAGAACTGAAAGGGCGGTCATCTTTTAAGCTGTGAAATTTACATTTGAAAACTATATCAATTGTGGCTGATTTCATAAAAAGATATAAGATAGTTGTATAAATCTGTACACAAATGTACACTAGACACAATTTAAACCAAATTCTCAGTGCTTTTATTGCTGTTCTTCATCTGAATGTCTCTGTGAAAAATTAACAGAGATCATATTTTTTTTTAATCTTGGTACACATGTAGTTGCTTTTACCAAGTATGATTAAGTTAAATCAAGCTGTTCAGGTTGTGTTGTGATCTTGTCAAGGTGACAAGGTTTTGACAGCAACCTTGACCTTTTGCCTTCTAGATCTTACCATTGTGATTATTTGTACCATTTTTGTATGAAAAATTCAGATCATGTAGTGGTGAAATTATTCAGTGGTGGATTTAGGGGGCAAAGCATAAAACGTTCCCAAAATTTTCTCATGGTATAAATAGCATTTTCAGCAATATCCCCCCCCCCCCCCCCCCCTTTCAAAAATATCTGATCCGACCCTGAAGTTTGCACACAGATAGGGAACAAAACAGAGAAAAGCACACACTCCACAAATGCCCAGTTATATTAATTTATCCGGTCTCTGTAGCTTTGCTGTAAGCTGATTTGTAACAACTGCCAAAATCTATGGCCACTTCAAGAAGGGAAAAATTTGCATCTCCATAGTTAATTTGTTTGTTGGTGTTTAACTACTTTCATTAAACTTAACTTTATCATGGAGGAAGCCATAGTACCCATAGAAAACCATAACCTTCGACTCTAAATTCTTGTCAATTAAGATAGTTGAAGACACCTCACCAAAAGGGGAGTTCAAACTAAACAGCCTGAGAGTCAACAGGACAATGATCACTGTAGATGTGCTACTTAGACCACTTGGCCACCAAGTTTGCAGAAGTGATAATGAATTTTACATTCCAATTAGCTGTAAATTTACTGATATTTGCAATATTTTAACTATTGCAAAATATTATGTCTTTGGTTCAGTATCCCATTAGTTGGAACTCACATTTTTAATTCCATTCACATAATTTTTTAAAGCATATTCTGAGATCTCATCAATTGATTTCCCAATTATGTCCATTGATGAGCTAATAGCTATACCAGATATAAATGGAATTAAAAAATTGTGACAGTTATGAGATAACAAGTGCACCATGTCAAAACGACAAAGGATGAGGTTTTACAGTCAGTATATATATTTAACCTGTTTCTACAGTACATTTACCTGTTCTGTTGGAGTGTAATCTGGTTGTTTCACTATATGAACTCTGTCTAAAAAGCTGTAAAGAGACAAAAATTCTTTATTAGTTTGTCAACCCTAAATCTTTCTCAGGGACATTGATGCCCATAAGGTCAAAACTATGTAAAGTAAATCACAAGCAAGATTCAATCAAATGAGCTAAAAAGTTGTAACATGTACCCCTCTATAAAATACATTCAACTGTATCATATATCTACTTCCAGCTCCTGGCAAATTGAGCTATAAATAGATTTTTAAGGTGAAACAAAAACTAGGTTTTTCCAGAATTTATGTTGTAGGTTGTCACTTGAGTGCATGTACATGTAAATAACATCTATCACCTGGCTACATTTACATATTTTGATATCTATAGATGCATATATATACTACTCAGATATAGGAGTGATTCACAGACATTTATTTCAAATCTACTGCTATTATCTGCCAGTCCTATAGTCAATCTTGTTGGCAAAATATTATTTGGTTACAAAAATTTCTGCAGTTTTCAATTAATTATAACTTCCAAACAAGTTTATTGTTTTTAAATTTTGTTAACAATTGTCTTTACATTGCATAATGCATTCTCTTGTTTAAAAGTTAAACATGCAAGATACCTGTGTCAAAATTGACTGAAGATGTTACTTTTGAGATACAGAACTAAATCAATATCAGGAGCAGTCAAACTTAACACATCATAGAAATAAGAAGATGTGGTATGAAAGCCAATGAGACAACACTCCATTCAAGTCACAACGTGTAGAAGTTAACAATTATAGGTCAAAGTACGGCCTTCAACACGGAGCCATGGCTCACACCAAACAGCAAGCTATAAAGGGCCCCAAAATGACAAGTGTAAAACAATTCAAACAGGATGCTTTGCTGAGCCCAGCTGGATACGCCCGCAGAGGCCCAACCCTGAACAGTTGGGGCAAAAATGGACACAATATTCAAGCTTGATACAGGTCTGAATTTGGATTGTATTAAATATTTGACATATTATAGGTTTCTGAATTAATGTAGTCAAAGAACTTGAAATTGGTTATATGAATTGAATTTATATTCAATAATTAAAGATTTCTTGCTGTTGTGCAATACACTGTGCTGTTGCGCAATACTTAGTAAATCTGATGTCAGACTATAAACAAACAAAGTTCAATTTATTCTCAATGTCATATCAGAAATTTATGAAAATGCAAAGGGAGCTTACATCAATAGATATAAACAATTAACCAAAGTTTCATAAGAATTGCTGACAGCATTTTTGAGTTATTGTCCGAAAACTGGAAAATCCCACCTTTTTTAATGAATTAAACCCTATAACATAGAAATGTAAAATGTAAAATTTATAAATTCTAAACAGAGCTTACATCAACAGATATAAACAATTCACCAAAGTTTCATACGAACTGTTGAAAGCATTTTTGATTTTTTGTCCGAAAACTGGAAAATCCCCCTTTTTTTATGAATAAAACCCTGTAACTTGGAAACGTAAAATCTAAAGGGAGCTCATTTCAATAGATATAAACAATTCACCACAATTTCTTTAAAGTTGGTGAAAGCATTCTTGAGTTATTGTCCGAAAACTAGAAAATCCCCTTTTTTTTAAAGAATAAAACCCCATAACTCGGAAACGTAAAATCTAAAATTTATAAAAAACGAAAGGGAGATTACGTCAATAGATATAAACAATTCACCAAAGTTTTATGCAAATTGGTTAAAGGGTTTTTGAGTTTATGTCCGACATGTTGACGACGGACGGATGGACGGACCATGATATACCATAATACGTCCCTTAGACGGGCGTATAAAAATGAGAAAAGAGAAACGCTTATGAATCACATCAACAAACGACAACCACTGAACAACAGGTTCCTGACTTGGGACAGGTTCAAACGTTTCAACAGGCGCCAACCTTCACCCTAACCTGAAATAGTAGTGTTACATTACAACATAGAAAGACACAGTCTAGTTTATTTCTTCTTTTAAATCAAAAACTGTTGATTCACTTATTTTCGTGGTTACCAATTTTCGTGGATTGAGGAAAACTTGCATTTTCGTGGATATTTCATTTCATGGTTTTGCAAAGTCTGCATAATGCCAATAAGAAATTTGCAAATTCGTTGAATATTTAAATTCTTGGTTCACCTGTACCACTGAAGTCCACGAAAATTGGTATCCCACGAATAATTATGAATCCACAGTATTCTAAATGATTCGCTCAACTTTTAAAGTGGTTTTGTTGGGGTTTACAAGAGACCATAGTAAAACAGCAAGTTGGAGCAACCTTCCATCCTACCTTTTAAATCTACCCCATTACCCTCTATTCATTTCAATTACATTGGACACACTCTGTAATTGTCCCACTCCATTTGATATCATTTCTCAATTTTTTCCACTCCCCTGCAGGGCTCACACTACTTCAGAATCATAGAAAGAAGTGACTTCTCTTTTTGAAACTGAGAGGGAGAAGTGGTGAGATTTGAAAGAGAAGTGCTTGATCACTGGTGGCGCTACAATGTTTGGTTTTTACTATAATACAAAGAGCCATATGTATCTTATTTTTTATCAAAAAGGAAAAGAAAGTTGTTATATCAATTAAAATTCAATTAAAAACTACTCTGTAATCATGTTTATGAAATTAAGTATTTCTCATTAAATAGATATTTAAATTTAACAGTTTTATTTAACACAGTTGAGCTTGGACATAATATAATTAAATTAGTGTAATAGTCCCAGAGTTGAGCAACTTAAATTTATAAATTGAAACAATGCATATACATGGAAATATATACATTAATCAAGTAGATCTAACCAAAAGTATGTTAATGCTTGTGGAATGCGTAATTTTTCCTTTTGGGATCAATTTTCTTCTGTCAGCTGTGCCATTCATGTGTCCGTAGTCATTATCGCAAGAATCCAGATTTCTGTCATAGCTGGTCCGTTTCCGATGAAATCCCGACTCCAACCCGTAGTTGTACAATAATTTGCCCAAAAATTTAAATGGCAGACGAAGAAAATTTACAAAAATTAAAACGATGTTTGACACGCTATATGGAAGGGAATATAACGATTTTAATGCAATATAAGGATAACAAATTTACTTCAGGCAAATTTCATCAGGTTCTAATGAAGTAACAAGCTTATTTTGCCGAAAGTTAGAATGATTTGATGTACGCTCTCGATCAACAAGTACCGGAAGTGATAAAAAAATTGTCTTTATGAAAATAACATGCAACCAACTTAAAAATCAATGCTTTAACCTGTTTTCTAAAGAAAATAAATCGTTTATGTCTTTGAATTTCTTTACTTTCAAAAGAAAAATTGTTGTTTCATCGACTTGGTAAATGTTGAATATTGCCGATGATGAAAGCGAGTATCGTGAACAACAGGGCGACTAGATTTCGCTTTTGATGGTCGGGCAAAGCGAAGTGACGGACAGGAAAGCGACTTTGTCGCCCCAGTCGCCTGCTAGCGTGAGCCCTGCCCCCCTGTCCTTCCCTCTTCATCTTTCCAAATACATTGCTATTGTAATAATGGGCATTGAAGTGCTTTTCAAATAAAGAAAAAAGTTTATATCTACAAATTTCTTGCCAAACATCAACACTACGACTGAACCCTCTTGTGTACCCCTTTTGGTAGAACAGAGAGTGGGTATGATGGCCTTTGGCCAGGTGAAAAGGAAAACACTAACATTGTAACTAATACATCAACACAGTCTAAAAATAGCTCATCTCATAAATAAATGACACAGCTGTTAAGTTTTAGTCCCTTATGTAAAAGCTTAACTAACCTAACATACTCTTGTGTTTACAATTATGATCTGTATAAACTTGTTTTAGGTCTTGTTATAGAACTAAATCCTTCGAAAAATAAAGGAAATGTTTGATTTTTAGAAATTGAACCTTTTATAAGTGAAGGGTGGGTTACTGTTTTAATCCAACTGGGTAAAATTAAGTGATCGATTCCAATCTGGCTTGCCACTGAATCTTTAATGCTTCTCCAATGACCTAGATGTTGGACAAAAAATATGAGGTCAGAAAACTGGATTATTCCAAGCTGCTGGAACCAGACGGTAAATATAAACAGTGAAGGGTTTCATCTGTACATGCCTCTCATTTAAGAAAAGTGAAATGAGTGTTTATACTACAGCATACTCAACTGTCTTAACCTAAAATATTATATATGTAAATGATCTTAAGATGTCACAAGATTTAAGAGGAGACCCACAGGGTTGAATCAAAAATAAACAGTACCCCCTTGGCAGAGGCCCTACAAACAAAGTTATTTGCCATGACCTGTGTTAGCTTTTGTAACTAGATATGGCTGGGATGACTCAGTATGTTTCTAATAATAGTAACAGAGTGAATAATTTATAGCAAGTAAGCCATAATCTATGCACACATAGAGATTTAAATAGAACACATCAATATTTATATAGGATATTCTTTGTTGAATGTGAAATTAAGTGTCGCAATATTTGTAAAATCCCATAAAGCCAATAGAGTATAAAATGTAATATTCTATAAATTCCTACTTATGTCTGAGCTCTATTAAAGTGTTGAATGGAATCACATTAACATTTGTTATACTAAATCTTTTTATTTATCCATTTTTACATTCAGTACAATATACTTTGCTTTATCAAGTCTAAACTAGCAAAAAAACGACAAAATCTGTGGTGTACTTTTATACAACTTAGTACAATTTAATGAAAGAGGTATGCTGAGATCTCTAGATTTTCCAAGATAGGGAGAGTATTATACAACTCATAGACAAAAACCAGTATGAATAATAGAAAATGAGACAGCACCTATTCACCAAAATAAAAAAAGAGAGATGAGTGTACATTCTCTATCAATGGATAAAATGTCTACACCACACAGCTCACAATCAAACAGAGTTCTGACAATTTATTTAATATAATACCAAATACTAACATTAATACCAAATTCTTAAATAGATATAATAAACTACAACTTATGACCAGCTAGGTTCCCTGATTTACTTTGTATTGGACAGGATAAAATATTTTTTTTAGTG